AGAGAGGAAAAGAGTGAGAGAGGAAAAGAGTGAGAGAGGAAAAGAGAGTGAGAGAGGAAAAGAGTGAGAGAGGAAAAGAGTGAGAGAGGAAAAGAAAGTGAGAGGAAAAGAGAGAGAGAGAGAGGAAAGAGGGAGGGAGAGGGGTGGAAAGATGATATCATGACAGCATGAGTTTTAAGGAAATAAGAGTTGCCAAGCGGGGAGGTATATATAGAGAGAAGGGTAGAGAGAGAACGAGGAAGAGACGGAGAGACGGAAGAGCGAGAGGACTCACACTGGGCCGGGTTAGCCCCGCCTCGGGCCGGGGAGCGGGACTCGTTTGTTAAAGTGTGTCTGCGGCAGTGCTTGGGTAATTATCTGCCCAGCGCGCCGCAAAAGGTGTGTGGCACCCCAACCCTTTTTCAACCTTTCCCTCTCTTCCCTCCCACCCACCTTTCTCAACAGATTCTCTCCCTCTCTCTCTAGATCTCTTGCCTCCCCACTCCCTTCTCCAGCGTTGCTTTTGAAATATTTTCATCTCATTCGTCATTAGCCAAGAACACTGTCCGTAATCACATTCCAAGTGCGCTACGGACTCGCGCCTTTTTTTTCACCTTTCAAACATAAAAAAAGATTATTTTTTTGCCAAAACAAAAGTTACATAATTAGGTTCAAGTACAAAATGGGAAAAAATGTATTCACGCATAATGTGTTTAAAATATCTCGTAGCCATGTCCCCTCCGTCTCTTTGTGGTGGTAATGTGCCTTGGGGAAAAGGATGGGGGGGGGGGGGGGGGGGGGCGCAGAATATTCCTTGCTTTCTCGTGGGGTAAGACAACGGCAAACGCCCTGCTCCTTTTCCTGATTCCCACTCTCTCTCTCTCCTACGCACTTCTTCGCCAGCTCGAGGTGTCGCTGCAGGCGCCACTGCCGCTCGCCGCCCTCAAGTACGGTTAGGCGCGCGCGCGGCAGCGAGGGGTGCCCCGTGTTGAGGCAGGGGCGGCGTGGCGGGGCGTGGCAAGGCGTGGCGGGGCGTGGCGTGGCGGGGCGTGGCGTGGCGGGCGCCAGTGCAGCAGGGCAGGCTGTACAACACGCCGCCCCGGCCGAGTGAGTAATCGCAGGGTGGCCAACTGGCCGGCAAGAGAAATGACGCACGCACCGACACCTGCTCGGGGGCCGCAGGGCCCGCAGGGGCGCCAACCCTGCCGGCCCGGCCAAGCCCAGCGGCGGCCTACGGGGCAGACCGCCGCTGCAGACCGCAAACCGCAAGGTCCAAGCCAAGCGAGCGGCCATGAGGAAGTAGGGAGAGAGCTGGGGGGGG